TATGATCAGTTTTGATGTTCAGTCACTATTCACATGCCTACCTATTGAAGACTGCATCTCAATTGTAATCTAGAAGATAACAACATGCCTGCTGAATATGCAGTATTACTCAAACATTGCCTCACATCTGGCTATCTATTGTGGAAGGAAGAGTTCTACAAGCAAGTAGATGGTGTGGCGATGGGCTCACCTGTATCTCCCATAGTCGCCGACATATTTATGGAGGACTTCGAAGAGAAAGCCCTTCTTACTGCTCCTGTAAATCCAAGATTCTACAAGCGGTACGTAAACGACACCTTCACAATTTTACCATCTGACAAAGTAACTACATTTTTAAACCACCTTAACTCTATAAACTCTAAAATACAATTCACAATGGAGTTAGAGGCAAATAATTCTTTAGCTTTCCTAGATGTTTTAGTCATTCGAAATCCTGATAACACTATTGGTCATACTGTGTATAGAAAAAAGACCTATACCAACCGATATTTAAATGGTGAATCTCACCATCATCCTTCACAGTTAGCTACTGTGGGTAAATCTTTGTTTCAGAGAGCACGAGGGATCTGTGATAGAAAACATCTGGCCGCCGAGCTGCAGCATGTCAAGCAAGTGTTGCAAGACAACAAGCTTCGGATCCCACGCTTACGTCACAGTGACCGAGTGAAGCCGGCCACAGTCGAGCGTGTGCCTGCTGTACTACCATATGTCAGAGGAGTCACAGACAAGGTTGGCTACATCTTGAAGCGAGCTTCCATTAAAACATACTACAAGCCGCCGAAGAAGATTAGTCAATTTTTACCATCCGTCAAGTGTAATATCCCTCTACAAGATGCAGGAGTGTACAAGTTAGATTGTGAATGTGGTCTCTCTTACATAGGTCAAACAAAAAGATCCATAAAAACCCGCGTGAAAGAACATATAGCTGACGTGAAACACCAACGCTCCGGGAAGTCTGCAGTCTGTGAACATGCTCAAGATCGTCCCCACTATTACATCAGATTTGATAAACCACAAATCCTCGCAAAAGAACACCGATTC